CACTGCGCCATCACCACCCTTGCTCTTTGTTGTGACCATAGGGATTCGGTTTCTTCCGCCTTCCACAAAATGGATCCAATCCCGGTAGTTACATACTCCCACTTTATATGCATTGCGAGTGTGGCAGCAACCAGTGAAGTCCGCTTCTCTGTATTTCGCTGTACGACAACGAGACAATCAGCGTGGTGTCAAGAGAGGTTCAGTCGCTCAGTTGATTCTCATGTTTGCATAATCCCGATTTCTGAGAAGCGCATCAGCTAATTGACAACTACCTCGCAGTTTCCGGTACCTTCAGTGACTGTGACGTAATACACTGCAGCGTATTTTCGTAACCAGCTATCCGGAGTCAACCTGGATAACCCAGGTAGGGAGTTCGTGCGATTAGAAACCTCTCATGTTCCGGTTGGAATCTCAACAAATTCGGTGCATATGGACTGCTGCTAATTCTTACAGTTGTGCAGTGCTTCGATGCATTCCAGTGGTAGGTGAAACGTTGACTGTGCATAATGTGTACATTTTTAGAAATAAACGATCTCCCGAGCGGTTCTCTTGAAGTTAATGCCATTATTATTTAAAAGGTTTTCATCCTTGAAACCCTCCACGTCGTACCTTCAAATATAAGCAAGGGAAAGTGTGATTACCGACAAATAGCATCGGACAGATGTGCCATTCTGTTTGGGACTCGTTAGCGGTGCATGGTGCCTGTGAACAATCGAATGAATTATTCCAAACGTTCTACTATTTACCTTCAAATATGTTTGGAAAACCACACTTCGTCACGCACCTCAGGGTTATATCATTGATGGACAAGGTATCATGACTGCGTTCTTTGCCTCCGGTTTCAGAATTGAGCTATTATTTTGTTTGACGCTTTATACTGGGATCATGGGGAACTGGTAAGATGTAAGCTGTAATCCAGAAGACAACGCCTCATTGATAGGCTTGTCTTCCGGCTAAATGTGCGATCTATTACACTACCATCTCCCACCCCTCGTACAATTTATCTTATCTTACAATTTAATCAGCAAGAAAAAACGAGACATGGAAGCACGCACTAATTACAGGGCAGAGAACCGTTAAGGTTAATGCGTCGTTCGAAAACTGTATGATGTTCATTTTCCCTTATGGGTATTTGATGGTATGCACTCTTCAAGTCCAGGTTGCTGTAAACGCTGTGTCCGGCAATTTTTCCCACCAAGTCATGAATGCAGAGTGGCGGATAAGCTCCCAAAGGGTGATTCGATTAACTGTCTGGCTGTAATCTGATATCATAGGTCGTTTCTGGCGTTCGTTTGTCGTAACCAGGACGTGGGACCGCCGTGGTGATAGAG